TGCATTCGATTGAAACGGTTGCAAGAAATTCAATCAAAATTGTCAAGCGTTTACAATGCTTCCATATGATTGAAACATTTTCAATGAGTTTACAACCAAAATTGTAATGGTTGCATTGTAACGGTTGGCATGGTTGCATAAATGATCGGATCAATGATTGTACAATGATTGTGCAACGGTTTAAATTCAGACTTTCAAGGTTGAATTTTTTATAAGGGTTCCTTCCAAAATTTGGCAACTTAGTTCCTTATTAGATTACATGTTAAAGCCTTTTTATGTTTGAATTTTTACTCAATTTACTTAACATGTAATGAAAATATTTATAAACTTAAGATATAAGTTCACTTTATTTCATAACCTTCAATTTCCTTTTTTTTCATTGAGTATATTCTTCTATGTTTCTAATACAAATAAAAACCATAGGTTTTAATATCCTGTCACCCTGGTGTCATTTGAGAGCATTTTATTCTTTAATTAATGTCAATATTTTAATAATTTTATTGCCAGACATGGTTGGTTGACATGTAAACAAACATTTTTTGGCACTATAATTTCTGAAGAAAGAAAGAATATTTTGTGTAAGGAAAATGAAAATTCATTAGTGTTGTTGGGATGTGCCATAATTATCCCAACGAACGAAGTTCGGTAGGGATATAGTGAAGCCCTCCGTCCGTCCGTCTGTCTGTCAGTCAGTCAGTCCGTCCGTCTGTCCGGAAGATAACTCAAATACTAGTAGTTTTTTCAAGATGGCCGCCGCTTTAAAAATGAAGGGACTTTTTCGCAAAAATCATAAATTTTTCATTCTGAACCAAAGTAATTAATATTATTATTTGAAATTTTGGTAGTATATTCACAACATTTATCTATTTCACATATATTCTGTGTTTTTCATCCTGACCCCCAGGGGCCGTGTATGGGGGGACAGGAAAACAGAAATTTTCGCTAATTTTTAGATCTTTCTAAAGTATAGCTTTATTATACTCAGATGAAAGGCAATTAAGAGTAGATTGCAAATATTGTATCTTTTTTTTGATTCGAGCCTCGTAAAATTCAAAATGGCCATCTAATGTACGATTTCGCAATAATTTTTTGATCCCTTCAAAATATGGCTATATTATACTCAAATTGAAGGAATTTTGGAGTAGATCACAATTATGGTATTATTTTTCAGATTTGTATCTCAGAAAATTCAAAATGGCTGCTTTGCAGGAATTCGCAATTCTAAAATCTAATTTTTTCAATTTTAACCAATGTAATGAGTATAATTGATTGGAATTCTCTAATTGATATTTTGTTCGTTGGGATTTGCTACTCCGCGGAGTTGTACATTGCAATGCATCAGCAATTTTCAAGAGTAACATCGATGCGCATTGCAATGTTCATCAGGTAAAAGTTGGCGAAAAAGCTTGCAAACTATTTTGAGAAAACAAATAGCAAGTTTACGATGTTATTTTGACAAGCTAGAACATATTTTAGAGAAAGGATATCAGAAATCATTGGAAAATGTATAAAGAAATTAGAAAAGTAAAACAATTGCAAGAAAATGGGTGGGGTTGACATGAGAAATCTCGCGAGATCTTGATTCATGCGAGAGAAAAAATGGCTTCCCATAAGATTAGAAATAAGAGCAAATAAAAACCAGGTGTTACCCCAAATTGAAATGGTGTCTACGTTATAGGAGGGAGGGGTAAAACATGGACACCATTTTGTAATTTCGACATATCATTGTTTATTTGCTCTAATTTCCGATCTAAGGGGAAGCCATGTTTTTTCCTCACATGGATTGAGATCTCGCGAGATTTTCCAGAAATCAAACATGAAAACTTGAAAATTTGATTTTTACAGATTTGTTTTTTTTTAAAACATTGATGTTTTGATGCATCGCCACATCAGTTTTGGCGATCTCCATTTCCGCGTATTAATTAATTGTGACAACACCAGCGTTCATTGGCAAAATCTTATTTTTTACGGAGTGGCTCCAGGACCGACAATTGTCGGTACTGGAGACTGTCCAGGGGTATTTGCTGGGGTACCGACAATTGTCGGCACTCTATCGTCACCTAGTAGTGTCAGATAGAGAACCGACAATTGTCGGTACGCAAGTGGCTGCTACGTGTTTTTGCTAGAGAGCCGACAATTTCATAAATAAATCCACTACTTTTACTTTCTGGGATAACCTCATCACTGGTAGTCTAGTGGTTAGCGAGTTCGGCTCGAACACACTCGGTCCCGAGTTCGAATCCCGGCAGGACTTACTTTTTTCTTTTGAGGGGGGGGGGGGGCATAGTGCTTCTTTTGCAGTATGGAATCGTACAGGCATTAACTTGTAGTGAGCCATAATTTATTTCGACAAAAATTGATTCAACTTCCATCAAAATTGTCCTACAAGCTTCAATTAAAACATTTTAAAGCTCTTTTCTTGTTCTATCTAATGGGTCGATATATACAGTTAGGGGAGGGGATGCTTTCGCCCCCGTCGACCTCTACCTTTACTACGCCATGGCACAGGAGAAATATCTCATTTGGAATATATCACTGTTTACTTTGCGTTTGGTAGCTCTCTCATGCGAGATGGAATCGTGGCCATTAACTAAGGGAGCCAAATGCAATTTCATCAAAAATTGTGCTATAAGGTATGAGTACCGTAATCCAACACCAAATTCGAAAATTCATAACAATACTTTGCACATATGGCGTTCGTGACCAACTATGAAACGCTTACCCCCATAGTGTTATATATCAAAATGCACATGTCCATATAGGGGTTCGATTGACCTACATCAAATTATAGGGAGTCAGGTTACTTTTTGAGATATCAGCGTCCGTTTATTGTAACTCGCGTTTGCTACCACTTCCTCAATTCTGATATGACGGGCAAACGCGTAGTAAACATGCTCACGTTCGGAACTATTTTGACCTACATCGCTATTTTCGTAATTCAAATGAAAGTTGAACCTCCTCTTTATTTTGATACCAAATAGTGGCATACTAGGTACCCTAGAAGCCAACTATGGGTTATTTAGAACGATACCACAGGTTTTTATATTGGACTATATAGCGGATGGCGGATGGATATGGAACCTCATACCATACGATAAGCTTCAAATAAAAAACATTCTAGCTATTTTCTTCTATCTAATGGGGCTTTGTATAAAAAACCTCCTACCCACGTACCCTCGTACCCACGTACGTGGGTCCTGACCCAGTCTTTAAAGAGTTAAATCTTTAACATTTTTTAAACATTATTCTATCTTAATGTATGCTTAATTATGGATGAATTTATATACCCATATGCCTTTATTTCTAGATCGGACATCTGTCTCGTCATAAAATAAAGCCGGCATTGCATAATGTTCATTGGAGCTATTTGAGTGTTGTTTTTGATATATCGAAGCGATTTTTTGTTGATCGGCAGTCTTACAGTGTACAACCAATCTATTGCTTGGCGCAAATTCGACCAAGCGCATATATTTAGTATTTTTGTCAGTCATACTTTTAATAGTCCTATACCTTTAAATTTACCATAATGTATATAGAATTTTGTATAAATGAAGTGTAATTATATCTATGACAATCTAAATAACGTTACAAAGATCGATGCGCAGATCCACGTTTTATTGAGTTTGAATCTCACGCGTCATGCACGTGTAGTTATTAGCCGCCTAAACTTCCCGGAAGAAGTCTGAATATTCACATTGGAAATTTGTTATACTCCTAGATTGCCTTTATATACGTTATATTGAACAGGATATAGGTCCATGCCTAAGGTAAGTCCATATGTAATTTAGATGTAATTTGAGTTAGGTCTGCAGTAGATGTAAATGTCAAAGAATGTGTTATACAGGTAAGACTGCCCGATCAACAAAAAACATTTCGACATATCAAAAACATAAATCAAATAGCTCAAAAATAATGAACATTTATGCAATTCCGGCTTTATTTTATTTTACTGAGAGAGATGTCAGACCTATAAATAAAGGCATATGGATGCATAAATTCATCTATAATTCAGGATAAACTGAGATTGAATAATGTTTTAAACATTTAAAAATTTAACTCTTTAAAGACTGGGTCAGGACCCACGTACGTGGGTACGAGGGTACGTGGGTAGGAGGTTTTTTATACAAAGCCATCTAATGGGTAGCAAACGCCCCTTTCTACGCCTGATCGACTCAGGAGAAATATCCTGTCTGTTTAGAATATATATAGCCGTTTACTCTGCATTAATAGCTCTCTAACGTCTTACTTGTTCATGTTTTTTATTGGGTTTTCAACGTTTACTACAATTCCCTGGCTAATGCCCTCCCCGGGTTTTGCACTTGTTCCCAAAATATCCGTATGATATCTGAAATATCCCCCCCGCGCATTGCGCATGCGCCAGAAAATTCGAAAATCAATATTTGTCGGTCCTCTAGCGTGTAAACACAGCATATCTCCCGTACCGACAATTTATTTGTCGGTCCTCTAGCGTGCCACCACATCAGAGTCTAGAGTACCGACAATTGTCGGTACTCTAGCCTTTACGTATTTTTTAATTTGATTGATGGAGAAAAACTTTGCTGAAATTCAAATTGTCATGAACAAATCAAACTCAATTTTTAGCCTCCAGTTTGACATATAACCATTTTTGGCAACAAACCACACTTCTATAAAACCTTATAAAATATATGCAATCAAATAATTGTATAACATACTTACATCAATTGAAGTAAATATATTACAATATTGAAGTAAGTCCAAGAGGAACTTTTTTGTTTCTGGCAAAATTTTACTTCCGGTACTAATGCACTAATTTAATGGAGCAACTCTTATATTATTTTCTTCCATATGTTTTACTGCAGTAAATTAGACTAGGATAATCAATCAAGTCAATCAACACAAATAATCGTATATATTAGAAACTTCAAGTCATAATACATGTGTCAAGAATTCATACAAATTGACTTTTTATTCTATAATGAAAATTAAATATTTTATGCTCCTTACTCATAAATCTAGGTCAACATTTTCATCATTGTGCATGAATTTATCACACTTTATATTATAGGTAAATACTCTAATTTATATTGTTTGTAGTGACTTTTAACATTGGTAGGAACATTTGGGGATATCTGGAATGTTAATAAAACACAGTTTGGTCAAGTTTTATGGAACTTTGACACTTTCATTTTTTGTTTCAAAACTTGTCAATTTTTCAGTTTCAGCAACATGCCAAAGCATGATGCAGACAAAGCTAGCTAGCCCTGCTCCTCGTATGATGAACACTTTATTTTCATAAACTATGTATCTGGTTTAAAATTTTGCTTGCTTATTTCAGTTGGTTGAAATGGCGACTATAGCGCATGAGTCTGGTGGCTTTTTTGAAGCATTGTTCGCAGATGTATGCAAGACGATAACTGGTAAAGGCCTGCAAGAGCAACTTTCATGTTCATTCGCTTCTTTGGAATCAGATGAGGAACGTGCAAAATTCATTTTGGACTGTGATGTCATAATAGAAAAACTGCAGGCCAAAGAAAGATATAGTGGGAAGGATGTTGAAAAATCGCTCAAGTTCCGAAGTGAAGGTAACAAGTTATATCAAAAGCAGTTGTATGGCGCTGCCCTGGAGCATTATAACATGAGCGTCTTATATGCCCCCTCCCCGGTTGCAGCTGATGGTGAATGTAATAGTGAGCTTTCACTTGCCCTCGCCAATAGATCTGCTGTTCTATACCATACAAAAAGGTATCATCTTTGCATCATTGATATAGAAGAGGCCCTTGAAAGTGAGTACCCCATTGAACTTAAGTACAAGCTATTTGACCGAAAAGCCAAGTGTTTTGAATCCCTCTACAAGCATAATAGTGCCCTGGATAGCTTTGATATGGCAGTTGAGTTCCTCGCCAATGCCAACATTGATGAAAAGAAAAAAGTAGCGTGGAAACGTGATATCGACCAACACATGGTTGTGATAAAAAAGAAGCAAAAGGGACCTTTGCATTCGTACCCAGACATGTCTGAAAAACCACTGCCTACAGTGTCTTACGGTCAGAACGACATTTTCCCGGCAGCATCTAAAGCATTCGATGTCTCCTATAGACCAGATTGTGGAAGGTTTGCCACAGCAAGTGAAGATATCAGAGTCGGTGATGTGATGATCGTGGATAAACCGTTTGCATCTGTCCTTCTTCCCACTGTATATAGGACCCACTGCTATCATTGTATGAAGCGAGTAGTTGCAGCCATCCCTTGTACGCAATGTAGCGCTGTAAAATTCTGCACCTTCAGTTGTAGGAAGGAAGCCTGGTCATACCATCAAGTTGAATGCAAGTTTTTAAAATTTCTACTTGAGAGTGGGGTTGGGAAATTTGGACTGTTGGCATTACGAACAATCCTTAAAGCAGGATGGAAATTTTTGAAGGAATACAAGTCTGTTTATCACTCCGGAGAAGAGCTTGACCCAAGTATGCTAGGCTTTGATGAATATGGTTTCTATGCTAACGACTACAATGCAATCATCAATCTAGTCACACATGCCGAGGATCGGGAGCCAAGTGATCTCTTCCGTCGTGGAGTCATGGCCATTTTTCTTCTGAAAGTATTGCAATCAGGGGGATTCTTCTCTTTGGGGGTTACAGATTCTACATGCAAGGATTCTGTCACGCCAACCCCTGATGACCTTGCCTATGTTGGTGGTCTTCTGTTGAGCCATATTCAGCTACTTCCGTGTAATGCACATGAAATTACAGAGCTTGGTCTAACCGATGATATCGCAACTTCACACCCCGTTGAGATTGGTGCTGGCATTTACAGCCACCTAAGTCTGCTCAATCACTCCTGCGATCCTGCCGTCAATCGTAACTACTATGGTGATGTTTGTGTCGTGAGAGCTATAAGAAATGTGCCGAAAGGGGAAGAGATCTCAGATAATTATGGTGCTGTTTATGCTGTCCATAACAAGGCAGAGAGACATGAAAAATTACAACCGCAATATTTTTTCTCGTGTGAATGTGAGGCTTGCATTTTCGACTGGCCCTTGTATTTTGACATTGAAAACAAAGTGCCTACTTTTAAGTGTGATAAATGCTCCACCCCCATCCCTTTACCCACTGGATGTATTAATAACCCAAACACGAAACCAGTGCATTGTTCCGAGTGCCACCACCCCCAAAACCTAACGGCAAAGTCGAAGATCCTCAAACGTGCCACTGAATTATTCAGCGTTGCTATGGATAAGATGCTGAAAGGAGAGGTTGAATCTGCACTTCCGACTCTGGAGAATCACCTCTTTCTATTGGATAAGCTGATATGTCGTCCGTGGCGGGAAATTAACAACTGCCAAGAGGCGATCAAGCAATGCTACAGCATTATGGGAAATTGTCATAGACTGGAATCAAAATGTCAAGCTGTTAATAATGGACTGTAGGTCAAATGTGTAATGCAACAATGTACAATGTACAGTAAAACCTGTATGTACAATGTACAGTAAAACCTGTAGGACATGAAAATCTGTGTTCAGCTTTCAAGATATTAACTTTATGAATCTACGTATTTAACCTTATTATGGATCTGCAGCTATATTTAACTTTTGGCCAATAGATCATAATGTTATAACATTTTTTGTTTAACTGAGGTGTTTGATACCCCATATGTCCATATTTACAGGTTTTACTGTACATGTAGGTTTATTACAAGGTAGTCTAACCTTTACTTACTCAAATGATTTATTGTATGCAACTACATCAGTGCAGCGTAACCTGAAATCATGAAATAGCTAGAGGCATAATGTTTTCTCTTTCATTTAGATTTTAGATTCATATTAAGATATGAACATGGTTTGATACATGTATAGAATATGCAAATGATTTAAAAGCAGAATTTATGAAAATGCTTATAAATTGTAATATCACAAAGCATGTGTTGAGTGCACTGTAAGAGATCTCAGATTATAATAGGCCTTTGCTACATTTATTACTCATCAGTATCCTTGAAATGAAATGAGGCAATATATTATGTCAGGTATATATACACTGTCATGTGAGAACAATAGATTTACATGTTCTTCACATATACAGGCAATTACTGGTAGCATAAAAATGAATTATTTGTTTATGAGCTGGTAAGGTTGGCTTTATGCATGTATTGACATAGAAGCTTTGTGAATGTTAATATATGAGTGCATTGATCATTAGAGCAAAATGTTATATCTTTTTATCTTTCTGTTTATTAGATCAGACACAATTTATTACAAGATTTAATAATTTAATATAATGATGTATAACATTTACAAAGGTCCAGGACGTGTTTGATGTCTTTATAAAAAGATAACAGTTTTCATGCAGCTTAGATATTTTTGTGTGGATAAGTATATAAAAATGAGTCACAAATTTGAAAGATTGATGTTAAGAGATTGCCAAAAACAATCACTGTCTGTTGATGCTTGTAAATCTCATACAAGGGTTGATTCAAAAGTTCCAAACCGTTTGCTCTAAAAATCTTAATATTTTATGAATAAATGTTCATATTTGGCCAAAACCACCCCATATATAGTAATTTCATTTTGTGTAAAAATAAACAATAAATCTGACCAGCAACATAGGTGTGGTAACCAAATGGTTCAGAACTTTTGGATCAACCCTCGTATATCTTTTTATTATTATTATAGATCATGTACATTTTATTGGCTCTCTGATGTCATTACAATGCCATTAGTCACCACTGTGTACAATATACAAAAATTAAAACTACCAAACATGTCCTTGACCTTAAACATTGATGCTCTGCAAAATATGTTTTATTTGCTCGCATATACAAACAAAGACTTGTTGTTCATGTTGTCCTGAAAATGGCATGCTATTATATAATCGAGTGTGGAGTTTTGGGGATTCTTATGTATTTTGCAACAGGCAGTATTTCATTCAGTTACTATGAATGTCTAATATTACTAGAAGTTGAATCAAGTTCATACCTCTTTTTTACAAGCCAGTTGCTTCACATATTTCAATTAAAACCACCCAAAGTAATATTTTTCTGTAAAAGTTTTGTGATGCAATGTACACTCTTGCTAAAGAATGATTGTTTAGGTGTATTGCTCTAAATCATCCCATTTATACTGGTGATCTATTACTTCAACATCATGTGTAAAAGATACACAGGGCTAGTATATTTCTTGAATTTATTTAGACTTATTTATATTTTTGATTGGTAGAATTTTACTTTCATATTTTTATGCATGCGGCTGTATAATGAAATGAAATGAATGTAGAAATTAGCAGCACTGATTTATGATCTATGATCGATGTAGTTTCCTGAAAGAAAACCATACCTATTACATTCATAATCAAAGTTTGTGACCCCCCTGTCTAACCATCTCATCTGCTGTAAGACCATGGGCTTATATGTGGTATAGTGTGTTTGCATTATAATCCCATGGTCCCTTTTACCATCTTGAGGTCCTTGAGTGATGTAGGTTTTGTTTTTATTCAGGAATCAATGGAATGTTACTATATGAATTATAATATTGTTATGTTTTCTAGATTTAGTAGGTATACTAACTTATATATTTTGCTGCTTTTGTGTGATGCACTATGATGTAATATTGTAATAATATATTTATTTGATCTGTCATTCAACCTTGCCAACCCCACCCTACTCTAAAGTGTGGGTTATTTCTGTTTCTATGACAACTATCAAGGTAGCTTAAATTTTATTCTAAAGTATTTGTATGGTTATTTTCAGGCCCTTGTGAATCCCCCCTCCCATCTAAACACCAACTTCTCTGAAGGTAATTAAATAGTGGGAAGAGGGGGGCGGGGTTCAGGGACTTGCAAGCACTTGGTATTTTATACCATAATTCATTTTTACTTCTGGGAGCTGATTTTTGAAAATATTCATGTTGTTTGACATGCTTTATGTACTTCATTTGATTTCAAATGTATCAGCACATTTGTGCTGGTTTGTATTGAATGTCAGAGTATTTCTGAATGGATTTATCAATTCTATGAATTTGTCCATGTGGTTCTGAGAAAGTAGAGCTGGTTTGAATGTTAGTATGTCTTCCAATAATCTGCTTCAGCTTAAGTTTTAACACCCTGGTTTACTAAAACAGGGGTTATTGTTATACACAAGCTTATATCTAAAATATATGATAATAAAATATGATAACACAATATGATTACACCAATTTGTTATTCATTTGTATATTTATCAAATTGACAGGAGTGTCAGAATTCCCTGTATTCCCTATTCCTTTTATTTTTGAATCCACATTTGCCATTCTAAACACTTTGTTCGTTCAGTGTAGCGACATCTTTAAATCAATTGCTGTTGACAACATTATTAGTTTTATCTTATTTCATTAAGATGTCAGCATCATCGTCATCATTTATGCATTCTCAAAAGTTACACAGAAGTTTTACTCTGCATTTGTTTGACTTTGGTTCTTAAAAGAGAGATTTGTCTACACTCTCAGTTTACAATAAAGCTCTGAACTCACAAACAGGGTACGCCTTAAGGGCTGGTCAGCTGGTCATTACCAGGTTACTTTTAATACTGACCAGTTGATTTTTTCACAAGGTATAGGAAAATAACATTGCAACTGGTCAATGATGCCATTTTGACCAGCAGCTCTCAGATCCTTAAGGCATACACTGCTCACAAAGCCAATCAGAGTTCGGCATAGAAATATGGATGACTTTCTATATACATGTATGGTCATTTCCTCTGACATCATCGCATAGTAATGAGAACACATTCAGCATGTATTCATTCCAGCTCACTGGTTGTGAAAAGATCAGCGTGGTAGGTTTGGAATGATTTATGACCAATACTTTCATGGGCATAGGTCGGGGGTGGGGCTACTAAACTGAAATATGGCCGATACTAGGCAGAAGGTAGGGTTAAGTATATCTAGACTCTACGCGCAGGGTACACAAGCATTGCATTTATTATCTTAATCCACTGATTTTTATCCCCATTTTACCATAAATTTATCTACAGTTGTTGGGATCTATGAGCATTCTCTTGAATTCAAATGTTTTAAACCAAACATCAAAAAGCACTTTTTGTCTACTAATATGCTGCCATTCTGTTTTAATTGATACCCTAGTTTTGTTTTTTAGATGTGAACTGTTATCATCCTCATGGAGTACAGTGCGACTAAAAGGTTATTTGCTACTCACTTGTCAATCACTGTAGTGTGCTGCCATCTTTCATGCAATGTGCTTTGGAGATTGAAGATCTAGCAGTAGGAATATTGCACATCACTTGACAGAATGTTTCATTTCTTCACATAACAGTCGATCAGGAGGTTTAAAGTTGGTAAGCATACAAGTTTGTAGTTGTACTATACTTTAAGTTAGATTGTAGATTGTAAACTCATATTATAGTCTAAATCACTAAATAAGAAGTAGAACTAAAAGTGACAAATTGAAATTCATCAATAATCTCATTGATTATGACAATTTTCTTGCAATGGCTCTGTCAAGCTACAGATTGAATTGAAACATTGTAGAAACTTCTGATAATATGCTTCTGTATGGCTCTGAGTGATGAAGGAGCCACTTTTGTCAAGATTTGTCATCAGAATCTGCAGAATTTGACTTCATGGTCTGAAATTCACTGGCGGCAGACTCTTATGTCGGGTGAATTCATTTTTATCTGAATTTCTGAACTTTTTCGTAGAATTCGAAAAATATGAAAAAAGTGAATCCCATTTATGTGGGTAGAGCAATGGCCTGTCCGAAATATTTCCTAAGGGGGATGTGACTTTTGCATATGGATGGGTTGTACACATTTACTTCGGTCCAAAGCCTTCTCTATATTCCGGCTTTGAGGAGGAAGATTGAGCTGCCTTAGTATTATAAATATTGTAAATCATTGTGTCACACGCACAGTAAATATGGCATAATAATATGAAATATACCTTTATGTATAGATTTGAAGAACATCAGCTCACATCCCCGTCTGAATCTATTGTTATATTTGATTTCTTTAAGCGAGAATAATTTCAAATGTTATTCACGTCCAGAACCGGAAGCCATTTTTAGCTACAGCGAGAAAATTTCACCATGTGCCATGAAATTTTGAAATATCTAAATCCAGACAAGCAACGCTTCATCCTAAATATGATTAATATTCTTAAAAATATTTATAAAATTTATTAAAAATGAGTTCTAGGTACGTGTAGGTGCGTGTAGCACAGTACATACGAAATCAATGAAGTTTCGTCTAGCTGTAAGCTAGAGACTCGAGTAAGTACACATCAGGCCCGTGGAACGTGTGCTAACCAAAAGCATCGCAGAGTGCAGCAAGATAGGGGGGGGGGGTCTTTGGGCATGTTCACCTAGAATGATTTTGAAATTTAGATCATCTAGTGGATTATGAGCATATCTGAGCTAAAGTCATATTTGGGGATAAAAACCACGATCTCTAAAGGAAGTGCATCAAATCTTCTATCGGTCATGTATAGATTCTGATTCATCTGAGCTGAATTTATAAATTCTATAAGAATAATAAAATGGCCTCATGAAATAAACAAACATTAAAACTTTTGATTTCATGCGATGACATGTTATATATTAGGTTTTTGTTTGCTTGTTGTATTTGTGATTAAATCACTCTAATGACTTAAATATATGTATTTATTTCTATATTACCATTTCAACAAGCAAAATATGTGAATTTGACATTTATTGTCAGTAAACACTTTATTGTTTATTAAAAGGTCTGTCAAGCAAGCCATGATAGTTCAAGCTAATATATGAAAAGCACTAAAGTGGGTCAAATCATATTTAACAGCTGAAGAAACTTAATTTTGTCAATGAACTGATATGACGTTTAGTTGACGTATAGAATGAATGATGAATGCAACTAAATATAGTCTTAAATTAATGTTATTGTAAATGTCTAGTATCTTATTTATCATTCCTAATTGGTAGATAATTGAGAATTGGTGAAAGGATAATTGTTTTCCCAAACTGGTGATGTAATATAAGGATCTTTTGTGAGTTTACATTGATCAATAGATCATTATGCTAACTTGTCTTAGGCTCACAAAATAGATTATGATGTTTGCTGTACATTGGTTTAAACTAATGCTTTTTTTTTTATTCAAGTTTTAGATAAACTAATGCTTATTGAAAGATGTTTGTGACATCTAAAATCTTGTATTAAAAATCCAGAATTTTTTGAACGATAGTTTTACAAATATAACCTTTTGACATATCACATTTTTTATAACATTGTGCGAGACTATACAGTATAAACTTTTCATGGGGCTTTACGTTTTCCATCAAGTCCTTGGGACCCCCTCCCCCATTCATATATTTCACTTAACTGGAGGGGAAGTAGATGGACGGCGGATCATTCTGGGGAGTAGATACAAAACTGTTAGAAATTGGCATCAGAAAATGTTGATTAATAAATTTGATTGTCTACAGATTAGACTTTATGACCATATGCATCTCATATTGACACTGTCATTTCATTGAGTAAAACTGTTAAAGAGATCCAGTCATCCAGATTCCTATTCTGGACAACCAGTAATGTCCCAATATAATTGCTCATAAAACATCATATATACCTTAGATATATCTTGAGACCAAATCATAAGCACAATTTCACCAATATATTGAGAAAATCAACAGGACAACCAACAGAACAACCAACTGTCAGAATAGAACACAATAAGTTGAAAACAATAAAAAATGTTTTTTGGGGATCTATCTATATTTTAACCCTTTAGAAGTAATAAATATGGCTCCTCTGAACCAAAACAATCTGTTCAAACTGAAGAAAAAAGTCAATCAGACTGGAAGAAATTTGAGCGGGCTTTAAATTAAATTAAATTTCTATTGATGTGAGTGGAAATCCATGGCTAGGAACAATCATCAAATTGATACTGTTAACAAATTAATTCAAGCCTCAGCATTGGTAAGTTGATAAACAAACTTGTTTTACATGAAATAACATGAAAAAATCAAGGGGTTACTTTAATTGTGTTTTTAAGAGACTCGATCTCTTTAAGGGTGCAGACCAGCTCTGTCTCTCTTGCTAGTAGGGTGACTCTGCATCTTTAATAGGATAGATTGTTTTATGGTTGGTTTAGGGTATACTCTATTGTAGTGGTATGCATTTTGCTACAAATGGCATGAATCTAAAAGTGTCGAATGATTTTACTTTTAATGTGTTTGTATTTAGGGTTGGAATTACATTTTTGTGGCAGGAACTGGGGCAGATCCTCCATATATTATAGCTTATTTATCTTTTAGCCCATTTAAAAATATTCATTTGTTCTATTGATTTTACACTTTTTATTTCTTTAAAATTTGAATGAAGTCCTACACTTTCTTGCATTTTTGTACAATTTAGAGTATGCACTTTGACTTTGCCAAATTTATCATTGTTTTTTTCTCCCCATTTCGCAAAATTTCAATTTAGAAAAGTGGCCCCTGGGTATTTTCTTGGAGGTTTGTCCATTTTAACTTTATTGACCAGTTAAGTCTGGGTAAGTAGGTCTTTATAACACCGCAGACACATCAACGTATTATTGTTGAACCACTGCACCAAAACCAAATCATTAACCCAAACCAATATGACCATTTAGATTTATTTTGAATTCTAAATAGACAAATTGAAAAATTGACTCTGTTGAACTCTCTAAGCGTTTTGATGTGGGTATTTATATTATGAAAAAGTCATTTTCTGTGTTATGACATTTTATATGGGCAGGTCAAAAAGTCGCAATCTAATTGTAAATTTTAGAGTCTGGTGTTGTGAATTTATTATGAAGATGACCACTATTGGTCACTTACTGCACCAGACTTGATTAATTAGTTTAATATAACTGAAAATATGCTGAAGAACATATATGAGCATATGGCTCAACAATTAAGCAAAACTGAAAACTCATCTTGAACAATAGCAGTATTAATGTTTGTAAGTTAATCCTAAAAGTTATCTTTCTCATTGTATTAAGGGAAAATTATGAATAATATAGATCACAAATAAATTACAAGGATAAGTACATCAGATAATATAATATAATGATAGTCCCTTATGAAAGGCAATTTCAGAGCATGTGTATACCATATTAAAGTAATTTTCAACGAAACACTTATTTATGACCTTGATTGATTCTGTTCTTTTTATTTATCATTGTCCAGCTGTAGGAAAGAGGTGTGGCAGAAATGGTGAACCCGATTGGTGGTGTTACCCCGAAGAGCCCGGGTAGCACCAGGCGGGGTTTGGAGTATACACCTAAGATGAATCCCATGACTGAACAGCGTAACATACAATCTGGACAGTACAACTTACAATCTCGCCAGCAAATAATTGAAGTAGGTCAATTCAATCCCAAAACAGGACAACGTAACATCGAAGTAGAGCAGCACAACATTCAAGTAGCACAGCACAACATTCAAGTAGCACAGCACAACATTCAAGCAGGGCAGCACAACATTCAAGCAATGCAGCACAATCAACAGGCATCATATGCACAATCAAGTAATGCAGGGGCACCATCAAGAGCAATGTCATTGTTGTCAAGGTAAGTGATTTACATTGGAATCTAAAAGAATTACATTCCATGCAGACGTTAAGGCAGAACAGGTGTATGGTCTAGAAGAGGAGGTTTATATAAAGTTTACATATTAAATTGTCTGGAATTGTAAAAAAATCAAACAATTATTCAAAATCAAGAGAGAAAATGAGTGAAACCAACATGAGGAGATGTATGTTTAATTGAAACATGATCCAAATGATTCCATATAACAAGGTGACTGCATTAGAGATTCCAATACTGTCTCATCCACTTTCTGTTCCATTTGTTTAGGGTTAGTCACTCTGTCCATATTAGCAGGGCTATATATCACCCACAGTCTCCAATAGCCAAAGCCATGTCACTTACCAGCTACAACTTTCTAATTACTGGTAGAATAGATTTACAAATGAGCACCAGTGTTTTTAAGTTGATCAGTCTTGTTGTTCTTGCAGGAATGAGCATTTTGTTTTATGTTTGGAATTAGACTGGTTTGTCCCATTGTCTCCTGAGGGAGATGTTTCTAAGTCAGATGCCAGTTGCATCAAAATAAAGCACTTTAAGTTAAGGCAAAAAAATATTGTAAAAATGGTATATATCTGAGTCATGATAATGCATATTGTCATACAGTTTCTTGTCATGTATATTGTCATACAGTTTTTCTTGTCAGTTAAAATATCAAGATAAAAATCATGATCATTTTTAAACCTTTGTCGATATCTTTGATCTATAATCCCTCTGATCAATAGAATGTGGTAAGTAAAAGACATGATCTACTTCCCTTTCAAACTTATTACATTATGTCTATAGGAACAACTTATTCCCTCAAATTGATCAAATTTGTTTCAGCATATATTTGTCTTATCCAATAGACTGAGCTCATAAGTTAGATGAAAAACTACTTTCCGAATAGAATCCATCTCCGGAGTCTATCTCGGTATGGAGCATGATGAATATAATCGTCATAGATGAAAGGAGCATGTATGTACATACCAGTGGTATCAATCACAATGGTGTTTGCATCAAAGTAACCGGAACCAATATAGTCTCAAAGCAATATTTTTGATAACATCTCAACGTTATCCATTTGGGAGAAATTTGCTCCGGGTGCGGGTAGGAGGAGTGTTCAAAGAAATACTTGAAAGTCTAATATGGAAAATGATATTCTTTGTAGAAACTAACCGGATGTTCATCAGTACACATAAGATTTGTACTTCAGCTTTTTAAGAATTTAATTCAGAAGAACCCTTAATAATTGTGAATCTGTGATCAACCAAACTTCCAACCACATTTCTAACATTTATTAATAGCTTTTAGCTTTTAGTGTCAGTTTTTAATATTTTTTTAATTCTTGATATTTATTTGAAGAAAACAAATGTTCATGTCAGGTAACATAAAAGTCTTCTGGCAAGTTTGTAATCAGACAAAAATTAAATACTGTAGTTCTAATTTAACTATCTTACTTGCTTTTTTCCACATGGATGTTTCATTCAAAAATAGTATATTTTATACTGAAATTGTAATTTTCTATTTTAGGTTATTATGTCACCAACATATTGTTATAGTCTCCAACTTTTCCGCGCCAACTTTTTTTGTGGACGTTGTTTAGCATTTGGTACTCAATGTCTGTAACAAATGACAGGTGGTGATATTTTGCATGTTAATTGTATCTTCAGCAGATTTTTTTTCAAGGTCACAGTGAGCCCCTTAGTTTTGGGAATGTTCTGAGATGTAATATTATCAATATCAACTTTCAGTAAAACCTGTCTAATCTGAACATCATGAGGGCTAGCCAAAGTATAAGGATTGGTAGGTTTTTATATTTTGAGGTTTTTTAACATTTGTCTGTGACAGGTTAAACAAGGCATTAACACGCAAAATTTCACCACCTGCCATTTGTTACAGATGCCAAACACTTTTGGCATCACAAAAAATTGAGACCATAACAATCAGAACTTTTGGTTGTGACATAAGAATGGGACCGTATTCACGACTTTGGTTGTGATATGTTCCAATATGATCCCGAACATATAAAGAATCGATACCAGAAAATTCAACTTGCAGAGAAAACTTCTGAATAATAGCCCAATATAAATCATATTGTTTGAAAGTTTTACTGCATCAAATTATATTTATATGTTAGATAGTGGTCAGAAATGAACATATTGTCTTTGGACTTTGATGGATTATAAATGCCACCTGGGGTACTCCAAACCTCTCTAGATACTGTTTCATTTTGCTCCAACAATATAGGTCTCCTGGCCATGAAATATAATGAATTAATGGTTAAAACATGGAATATATTGAAAGATATAGAAAGTAAAAGTAAAACGAGGCGACATACACATAATGAACACTTTACACTATCTAACAATTCAAAAACTGAAGTATTTCTTTCATATGTTTAAGAGACAGGTTGACATTAGAGCATTATTTTAAACCTGGGTTAGTATCAATAAGCCACATTTGGGTTTAATGGACCAAATTTACTGATTAAAAGATGAAACAAATAGTATTTTTAATCAAAGGCTAAATGTTCAATGGAGGACTATGGACAACGGTTTCATTTAATTTAATAATTGCAAGTAGTTTTAGGAATGGTCTCCCATATTGCACATAATTATTTTTCTCATAAATACTAATTTATTTCATTATTTTCGATTGTATAAAGTGCTTGCTGGTAATTTAATTTGTTATGAAGCCGTAATGTGCTCGTTGTCCATGATTCAAGCAATATTGCAAAGGAATTGGTCAAGTGAATCGACTGGTCATCGAGATTCTTCACTAATTGGTCACAATCAGAAAATTTATCGGAAACTTTTTCTCCTAAAGTGCATGACACACCCCGCCCCAAGACTTTCAAATGGTCATTTTGCGTGGTACACGATGGAATTAACGAATAGACTCGTAAAGCAATTTGGTGATTCTCTAGAAAGCTCTATAAAATTAACCGAATTAAAACAAGTTAGATTCGGCACAAAGCATGAGTAATTTAGATTAAGTTTTTGCTCGTTATCTAGAATGGATCTGAATGGGTCAAGACATATCATCATAGAAACACCCTTGTGAAAAATAAAACTTTTTTTTTTTCAATTTTATTTATAACCGGCAGTAACAGAATTATGAACTTAGATAAAGTTCATCCCACGATTTACATGAATTTGAGATCTTTGTGTTTTAGAACAATCAAGTCCAAAAAATGAATTTCTGAAATACTGAAAAAATTCCAAGGACTGATTCTAGCCTGATACACAGTGACTCAGTGAGACCCTTTGGAGAGTCTATAATTGTGAAACATAAGACAAAAATCCTATGGATTAAAACCTAGTTTATGAATAGATTCATTATATTTTGCAACAGTAATGTAAACTTTATGTAATTAATTCTTTCCTTGTGAGATTACAAGACTGATCAAGATGTGACATGAACTCTATGTGATGTTGGATTACATTGTCATTCCTTCTAACTGATGAGCATATATAAAGTACCTTTGAATAAATTTCCTCTCTTTGATTTTTTCAAAACGCAAATTATTATATATAAAATAAATATAACGAAGAATATTACAAACAGAAAATAAAGTGCATATGTAAATTTTATAGAAGCTTAAGTCGAACCTTAATTGAGTTTTCTGAGAGAGAATCATTTTTAATAAGACATCATTGGATGAATTGCAGAAAATGGGTATTGAATTTACTGTGCATTAACTGGGCACATGCATACGCTCGTGGTTTGCCAGGAAAATACTTAGTTCTTCCCTGACTAATTGCGTAAATCAATCAATGATGCATTATGGATGTATTTCAGACAAAGTAATGGATGTTTTTTCAGACAGCTCATACAAAAGACAGTTGAATGCACTCGACTCTTCAAATAATTACCGTTCACTTTAAATACCTTTCGAAGGAGGGTGCATGTTAACGAGTTGATTGTACGTGCCAGAAGTCCCTTTAATAATCAACGCAGAAATACTAAAGTGGCCAATTGAAACAATATACATATCTGTTAGCTCTATAAAAGTGTCTTTGTCTGCTGTCGTCCAATTTGAGAAAAAGCCAGAAAATTGTCTCCAAAACTCTTTGTGGATTAATATCAAAGTAGAAGAATATCAATATTTTCCAGTTGGTTTGCTCATGGAACATTTCAATAATTAAATTTCAGAATCGACTTTGTATATTTTAGTGTCTGTTTGTATATTTGATTTACTAGATCAATAGGGGCTGGGTATCGTATTTACGAAACATTGTACATTGTTATTAATTAATGAATACATAATGTACACTTGTTTGACTAAATGCTATTAAAATTTCTGAATCAGTGAATTAAGGGTTGAGTAATCGACACTCCGCTGACTGTGTGTGAAACATTTCTCTCATCACTTAGAGATTAATTGCAAATGAGAATTAAAACTGATATAATAATCATTTGAAATTGAATATTCTAATTGAAATATTATTATTGCATTAGTACTTGTCTCTTTAGATTAATCTGCGAAAATGAAGTAGCGCTAACAAGAAATAATTATTAACTTTGGCAAAACTACAGAAATTGGTTAAGGTTCTTATTTGGGAAGTTTTGCCATATGAGTATATTGGCTTGTATTCCTTTTGGTGCCAAAGGTAACAGTCATGTTTTGGTATTTTTTTCTTCAAATGTTGCTCATTGTCTAATCTCATTAAAAGCTGGGATAGTTTGATGCGTTGAACTCATAGATAAACTGTAAGTATAAAACATGTATTATAAGTATCAGGTCTTTGAATTAAGAAATAAATTAAAATCAAGAACATTTTGCACTTATTCTCTTTCATTGTTTTCGAGAAATAATGAGAAAAGTAGAGTTGATCAGAATGGTTATTAACCTGGGAGTTCTTACAGATAAGGAGCCTTAGGAGAATACTTAGATTGACGCTAAGGAGGAAATACAAATTGACATATCGTAAAATTTCCGTGGTTCTAAAGACTCTCAGTCAGTAAGGGTTGCATGCAGACCACGTATGCTTGGATAAAAAATGTATGAAGTTTAGCGGAGTTGTCAATGGACGTCAATCAAGAGTGTGAATCATCCAATATATCTCACTCCGTTGAATTTAAACATTCAATTCTGTCTATACAAATTATTGACTTTCCGTAATGTTCGGGTTATTAACTCTTTATAACAAACGATTGTCGATTTTCTCAATTGTCAGCGCTCAGAATGCGCAGATCCTTTTGACTTATTTGATACTAAGATGATTTTTGTATATTATGTAGGTATTATTATTTTATTAGATCAATATATTCATGTATGAAAAAGCATGTGGAATGGACATGAGTCAATAGATTAGGATTCAACACCAGAAACTCATACTGCATCCATAGAGTATGCAATTACCCAGAAGTCCTAGTTTAGGTCATGTGATCTTCCTTAACCAATTGTAGACTTGGAAATCAAGGAGATATAACAATTTATTAATAAACGGAATAAAGCCATTGGGATTATCCTACACT